AAAATGATAAAAGTAATAAAAGATAATAAAGTAGAAACAAAAATAATACTAAAATAAAGAACTAAAACAGGAGGTACCTAGAATGGTGTGAATGACAATAATGACTAAAGGAGCAGAAGGGAAATTAGAAGTTAAACAAATTGAAATACATGGACTTAGGGAGAGAGAAGTCGACCTAGCTGAGAATGCCCACAAGGGGGAGTGGGTGAGCCCACACAAGGTGAAATCAGGAGGGTAGAGGTGGAGTTCAAGAAGTATTAGATACTTAAACAACCTGCCCTCTAGCATTAGCTTAAGGTACTGTGCCTTAACTCCAATTGTGCTTAAAACTGATCACGTTTAGTGTGAGATTACTCTCATTCTAATGGACAATTTACTGCAGCTATCACAAGAACAATGTGACTTAGATCCCAACAGATTCTTACAGTTTGTGCAACTTAACTGTACAATGATGTGTGGCAGGATTTCTTTGCTGCTGGTACACAATAAAAATGATAAGCAACAGGGTTTCTTCGCTGTTGTTATACAAATTTCACTTGATCAAGGTTTTAAAAGCTCCCATTTACATTCCAATCAGTTACTGGCTCGTAGTGTTCTTATGATCAGATCTGCATTATAGGTGCACATTAGTTAGCTGCTACTAATGATTAGTGAGGTCGTCTAGTTGAATGAAATTAACATGCAATGACTTCAATCTAGTGATAATCTCAGATAAGGCCTTTAAAAGATGATAAGAGGAACATCGCTCAAATCAATTTTTATCGCAATGAAGGAAGATTTCTTCATTCTAACAGGCGATTTTGATAATATTAAAATGTACTGTAATGAGATTTCTTCGTCTTTAGAGAACAATTTTAATATTATGAACTGCAGTTTACTTTAACAATTAACAGTGACTAAATGTTAGGCTGTTATAATACAGTACTGGAGGTGGCTTTGAACCATCCATTCAAAAGAGTGAGTTTGCGTTGCGGCTTGTCTCACTCTAAGCACGCATAATATAAGAACACAAATAAATTGATACTGAGTTTGCTCACAAACAAAGTTTGAATGTTGCCACGTTCTCCACCAAATATCTAGCAAATTAGCTCAAAAGGGAAATATTAATAATGAATTATAACTGGTTATAATTAATTATAAATATTTAGATTAGATCTTAGAATTAACTGTAGCAGAATCAATATTACAATTATTTGATCTGTCCATCCACCGAGCAGACAATATAATCATTTATCAATTTAAGGAATGATTATTTTCCTGGCCAAGGAACAATTGCTTTTCTACTTTATGCAGTACTAGCAGTAGTTTAGCATATAGCAAGAATCAACATTCAGTGACTCCCAATTTTGAGCAGCACACAGAGACAATCAATTGTGAATACAAGGGATTTAATAAATGAAACTATAGCCAACATACAACTAAATCAAGCAAAACACATATATACAGAATGAAGGAAAGTACGGAAGAGATAGAGAAGAGCAAAAGAATGTCAGTATTTCACATCAGTTAACCACAACCTAATGAGAATCATCAAAGAATCAAAATCACCTTAAAAAGGGGCTCAAACTTAAGCATGCATCTAAATAGTTGTAAACGGTTACTTGCATTGGCTTTGTTGCTGAACAAGTGTCCTGATGCGGTAGACAACGGAGGTTCTTGATGAGTTCTTTTAGAAGTGAGCTGGAGGTTTTCCTCTGGTTCTTCTGAAGATAGGAAAGTCCACAGCGGATCGACAAAGTTACTTGAAGATAAAAACTGCTGGAAAATCTAACTCTAGAGGAGAGTTTTGAGGCGTCTTCGATAGTGTCCGTCTCAAGAAGAAAGGTTTCTGAGCAAAGATTAGTCTGAGTTAATGACTTTTGATAGTTCCTATCCACACCCACCTTTTGGGTGGAATAGCCAATACCAGGCATGAATTTTTGAGTGGGAGAAGTTTTCTTTGTCTCCCTTTAAGGCTCATTTGCATGTTTATGGCCGGTCTGGAGGATTGGTGCAGTTTTACCCAAAATATAGTACAAAGAGTATGATGCATTTCACGTTCACATAGTGTACATCATTGTTTGAGGAATAAAGAGCAGATCATTTTGATACCAAGAAAGAAACATTTAGAAATTTATTTAGTCATTTAGCAGACGCTTTT